AATCGGAATATATGTACCTTAAACTAATGACCTAGCTTAAGAGTTGGTTAGAAGTACCTTAAACTCCAATAAGTTTAAGAGTTGGATAAAAGTACATTAAAACTAGAATTAGTTTAAGAGTTGGATAGAAGTACCTTAAACTAGAACTAGTTTAAGAGTTGGTAAACATTAAAAAGATTGGCCTTAGACTAAGAATAGTTTAATGATATTATTGAATGAGGATGTTGAATGTTGAATATGAATATTGAATGACGAATGTTGAATATTGATTATTGTATATTTGAACTGAATACTCTGTGCATGATATCAAATGATTTGATTATGAGTTTGGATTCAATTTATGTGGATGTTCGACGCTTTAGATATGCTTACTCAGCTTCACCGCTGAGCGTGTAGTGTATTTTATTTGCTACACGCAGGTAGGCAGAACGAGTAATCGACATGTTCCTGGCAGCAGAAGGGGCGATGCGATCGTGGTGGATTTATGATTTAAAATGATTAAATTAAATTGTTATGAGACCTGATTTAAATTGCTTCCGCATTATGATTAAAACTCCGTAATTTATTACTGTTATGTATGGAATATTATTTTATGATAAATAAAGATGTTAAAATGTTTTAAATTTTTACGATTACCAAGTTAATACTTTAGTCCGAAAGGGGCTGCAGACCTGGACGGATTAAGGTGTTACAATAATGACATAATAGTATTGTAGATCTTTTACCCAAATGTGCAACGGAAAGCACCGCCCACATTTGGTCTTCTTTGTATTCTCATGAGCTTTTGATGATTAATATGAAAGAAGAATATTTGAGAGAAGACCCGAAACGAACCAATGCATTCAAGACATCCAAGGAGGAGTCTAGTGATGACTCAAGTGATGAGTCAAGTGAAACGGATGAAACATCCGATGACTCTATTTCGTTAAGTGATGAAGAAGATGAAAAAAGAGTAATGAGGAAGAAATACAAAAGTTTTCTCCAATGCAAATTTTATGAAGATTCAAGATGGAGAAAATCAAAAGAGAAAGAACTGTATTCAAAGCCGATGAAAGAGCGGCATAAGCAAAGGTAAGTTCTTTTTACTCATTGGAATAAGATACTTTTTTTCGTTTTTAAGTGTTTTCAAAAATAAAACTTTATCCCATATGTGATTTTATTTGTTTAGCCTTGGTTTGCATAATTAAATAATTTTTCAAAATTCATTATAAATCATGCCTTTTATAAAATTATCCCCAAAAATCCCTGAAAATGAAGTTTTTAAACTTGCATCATTTTAGGGGGAGTTTTTTGTTTTAGGAGGAGTTTTGTTGTAAATGCACCATTTGCCCAATGATCTCCAAACTATCATTTTTCCTAAAAATTCACTTTGACAGGGGGAGGGTTTCAAGAAGTTATACATGGTTAAAATTTTCAAAATGCATTTTTTGATTATGACAAAAGGGAGAGAAGATGTATACTTCAAAGTGGTGCATATGCAACATGACTTAAGTTCATTCTTGTGTAACTATTTGCATCAAACCTAAACTTTTAATAAACACAAGAAAATTTCAAAGTGAGTACTTTCAATATGCTTAGTTTTAGGGGGGGGGCTTGCTTGCTTCATTATTTTACTCCCGCCTAACTTACTTTGAAGTATATTGTTTGTCAACATAAAAAAGGGGGAGTTGTTAGCCTTGGTTTGCTAAGCCTTGTGTTTTGATGTTAACAAACAATATAAGAGTTTAACGTTTGTTTAAGTTTTTTAGGTACAACAAGAATCCATTAAGATTCGGTTTTCAAGAATGAATTCGAAACACTAAACTAGCGTAGAATATAGGTAGAAACAGATGTAAGCATATGATTTTATATACCTATATTCACAAGCTCAAAAACACTCACGAAATATGTTTAAAACCCTTTTATAATCATTTTCAAACATCAAAAGGTTTTAAACAAAATTGGAAACGATTTGGACAAAAATGAAAAAATTGTCAAAATGGTCACTAGGTACCTAAGTACCGTGAGTAGGTATCGTGAGGGGTACCGTAAGGGGTACCGTGAGTCAATCTGAGAAGGTACCCCCTACCGTCAGCCTAGGACCCCCTACTGTCTGGACGGGACCCCCCTACCGGAAGGGGTACCGTAAGAGGACTGGTACCGCTAGAGAGTTTTTGCCTGAGAAGGTACCTAGCTACCGTGACAGGGTACCGTAACCATTGGAACACTATTCCGGATTGCTGATTTTTGAATTAAATCAACCCTAATCACCTCCCAACGGCTAATTAACATCTTCCACTATAAATATAGGCCTAATACTTCATATTTCACCAAGAAACAAAGCTCTAAACATCCTCTCTTTTTATTCTTAGTGTGTTCATTCTCTTATTCATTATTTTCAATATTTTGGCTATTTCAAGAGCCTTAAATTCCTGATTTTTATACACACACTTTGAGCTTGTGTTTCTACTTATATACTGTCATATTCATAAGCTTGTATTGTATTTTTGAGAGAGTATAATTTCCTTCTACACCCGCTAAGTTTTGTTCTTCATTTTTATATTCTAGCCGTTGTGTAGAATCATTGTTTGTGTTCTTCAAACACACCTTCTTACAGTAGAGAATAGCCGTTAAATTCTCACGTTGTAACGGTTAACGATAGCCGTATAAATCCTTGGGTAAGGGTTCAAGGATAGCCTTTGAAATCTTTGGGGGAACGGTAGAAGATAGCCGTTAAATCTTCATTGTAAACGGTTCGAGATAGCCGTGGTGAAATCTCGAAGTAAATCCTATTGGCAAGGGTTGTTTGCAAAACTACTGCGTTGCTTTGACGGAGTTCAAGAGACCGGGACTTAGTGGATTCGGAAATCCTTTAGGAGGAGCCTCGAGGTACTGAAGTAGGGAGTTCTCGAACCAGTATAAAATCAGTGTGCGTTTTACTTTACGATTTTATTTTTGCGTTTTATATATTGCTTCCGCATTTGCCAACACTGTTTTAATCAAACTCCGAAAAGTTTTCAAACGCCTTATTTACCCCCCCTCTAAGGCGTGGGCACAACGACTAAAACCGACTAACACCTTGAATATGGTGATTGCCATATCGAGTTACTATCAACCTTGTTCCATTGCAAAGACCGGATTATTGATCAATATTTCTCAACAACATAATGGGTGTTCCAACCTTCAACTTCAGTTCATGATTTGGGACACCAGATGCTTGTATGTTGTTCAAGAATTCCGGAGAGTGTAAATTTGTCAAAAAATCTGCATTTGAATCAGACTTACACACTCTATTAGAGCTAAAGTAGCTTTTTGCTTCTCCAATGTTGTTCAATGATGTCATGTAGTCATTGATTTCATCCATAACATCTAGAGTTGGTGCAAGAATTGCTCGATTCTGCAAATATGTGGGATCATTTACGATATTGTTGAAGTCTGGATACGTTGAATGAAATATAGTTCCTATAGGATCATCCATGATTTTTAACAACATATCGTCGGGGATAATAATTTCACTGGATCCGTCATTTTCATCTCCAGCTATGCCATCACTGATGCTTGGCATCCACTCTTTAAATTCTGACATGCTCTCATAATTCTTATCGCGAGACATTTGTTGCAAGCACATGTTTTTTGTCAATCATAACACCGTACAATGGTTCCATAGATATGATGAGTTAATCGCCGCATTGGCAATGTCTTGTATTCTCCATTTAGGAATGACGGGTAAAATTTGCCGAAAATCTCCTCCAAACACAATGGTTTTCCCTCCAAATGGACGATCAACATTTGATGCATTAACAACAGACGTTACATCGCGTAGACTTCTATCTAGAGCTTCGAAACAGTACTTATGTGTCATTGGTGCCTTGTCCCAAATTATTAGTTTGGTTCTAACTAAAAATCAGCCAGAGGTGTTCTTTGTTTTATATTACAGGTGGAATTTTCATGAGGATTGAGGGGAATTCCAAAACGTGAGTGTGTAGTTCTTCCACCGGGTAACAATAATGAAGCAATACCACTTGATGCAACATTTAACACAATATCTCCTTTGGATCGAAGGGAAGCAGATAATGTTTTCCAAACAAAGGTCTTTCCAATTCCACCATATCCATATAATAAAAAAACTTTCCCCTCACTCAAGTCGACAGAAGACATTACACTTTCATAAGTTGTACGCTGTTCGCTATTCAACAATGCCAAACAATGTTTGTGTTCAGATGTCATTGCTACGCGGTCATATTGTAGTTCATCAAGGATGAGTCGGTTGCGGCTAGTAGACGTGTTGCCTAAAATGGGGAAAGGTGTATCATCGAAGTCCCGAAGACTGTTGCCACGCATTATAAGCAACATTTCAATTTTAATCAAGACATAATTCTTGATTTGATCCTCAGTTAACATCAAAGTGCTCCTTCCTTATGCTCTTTACAATTTTCTCTCTCGTTTTTAATTTCCTGTGATTTTGCTTTAAACGCTATTCACCCCCCTGTAACGCCCCAAAATCTGGACCAAAAGAATTAATTAAATTGTTAGAGCAATTGATTACGAATTGGGCCCAAAAAGGGGTTAAAAATATAATTTGGATTCTAAGCCCAACTTTTATGTCATTTCGTAGGAAATATTTTTTGTGATCGCGTCAGTTCAGACGGCTCGCGAATCGGAGTTATGGAGCTCTTGTTCTAGCCGTTTAATCGGGTATTTTGGGCCCGGAGCCCAAACCACTAGTATTGGAATTAATAAATAAAACCTAAACCTATTATCTTCCGTCCAGATCCGAGAGCCGCACGATCGTCGTCTTCATCTTCATCTTCACCTTTGTCGTTCTCGATCCCCGCCGTGAGCCAGTCACCGGTCATCCTCCCTTGCCGTTCGACCACGCCGGTGTCGCGCAAGCCAGAGCCTCCTCGCCGCAGCCAATCGCCGCGGCTTCCTTCGCCAGTAGCCCGCTGCTCCTCGCCGTCGAGTTGCAGCGCCGCCAATCGCCTCCAGCCGCCGTCGCCCTTAGCTCAGGTCAGTCTCTTCTTCATCTTCTTTGCAATATCCTCTGCAATTGGACCTCTGGAGCAGCGCCACGCCGGGTCGCCACCTTCGCCGGCGGTCGATGCGACTCACCGGACTGATACATCGCCGGTTCACCGTTGTTGCAGCTAGGGATTTCGTCGGACAGAGGCTATCACCGGAGCTGCTCCTCTGTTCGTGATTTCTAGGAGCTGCTGCCGCCTTGCCACTGTTGCCGGCGTCCGTCACCGTCGCCGCATCCAGCCGCTGCCCCGAGTTGATATCGCCGGCAGATTAACCTCCACGCCGGATTGATTGGTCGATTTCGTATTTTGACTCAATTTGACCCGTTCGTTTGATTTCGTTGATTTGTCTTCCGTTTGAGCTATCGATTCGATTTCGGCGTAATCCAGGTCCGTACTATGAAGTTAATAGCGTTTAGAATAGATTTAATGGTTCGGATCGTTATATATGTTTATGCTATAATTTGGCTAAATTGGTTAATTAAATTAAATTGATTACTTGAATTGAATTATTATGTTTATTCTTGTGCTACAATGGAGTGCCACTCAGCGTCAATGCTGAGCGGATAGCGTTGTTTTCCTTTTTGCTGTCCGTAGGTGATCAGACAGATGAACCTAGAGCCGATCCCAGAGGGCATTGAGGAGGAGATGTACGATGGCGTGGCTGTCTCTTTAATATGTAGTTATGCTTTATTTAATTAACTTTAATGCTTATTACGTTTTCGGGCAAGATCCCAATTTGTTTGACTTTAAAAAGGCTTCCGCATTATTTTAAATTACTCCGATGGATTTTTATATGTATTGATAGAACGTTTGTTTAAAATTGTTTTGAAAATGTTGTATATTCGGATACCAATCCAGTGGCACACCGGTCCGCTGTCTCACGGGTTTGGGTTATGCGGGTTTGGGTGTTACATTTTGGTATCGGAGCAATTGGTTTTAAAATCGGTCTTTGGACCCTTTCAAAATAAAACACAATGAATAATTCAGCCACATCTGCATCTCACGTAACTCCTCTGCCCCGGGAAGGTAATAAGTATTTATAGCTTTATCTGTTATATGTTAAGATCTGACTTGGGAATTTCCTTATTATTTTAGAATGAGTCAAGAATCGACCCATGGTCAGTACGTTCCGGAGCCGGAGCACGTGAGCGTGCACACGGTGAACACCGAGGGTTCGAGTTTCACGCCTCCGGGTGACGGAGGGCAGCAGCAGAATCAACCTGAGCCAGCGGG